GTGTTGTCCTTGATGGGAAATAAGCCCCTATCCTACCTTGACCTTGCCTCCTTAGCTTGCAAGTAAGTAGCAGTAGAAGTTGTGGTGGCAGACACTTTCCTAAGTGTCCTTCTAGTTTGAGGGGGGATTCTTAGCCTCCTCTTCGCCTTAATATCAAAATACTCCTCTCTGGGATAGGATTAGGGTTCCTCATCTTGCCATCATATGTTTGCCTCTTTTGCTTCTTAGTTATGTGATGTTCAATGCTTTTTGGTATCTCAATATATAAATGAGAGATTGAAACAAATAAAATTACGTGGAAAATCGACTAATAATAGTGTTTTACAAATTTTACCCCTTACCCCATAAGTCCATTTATTGAATTCAAAGACGCATGATCGGTACGAAGGATCATGTATCCAAGGGAATATATGATCAACTTATACAATTGTAAATTATTATTAGTTAAAGGTGAGTCTTCCTAATGCCAAAATAGCAGAGGTTGCGGAAATTAGAGGTGGTATGATCTCATGGAATATTAATCTTCCATATAGGAGGCTGAATGAAGGCCTTTTATCCCAATGGAATCAATTGATGGGTATGTTGGAGGGAGTATATTTATCTCACAGAGGGGAGGACGAAATTGTTTGGGAGATGGAAAGTGACAGTGTTTTTATAGTGAAATCATGTTACCGTCTTCTCCTTAATGATTGATGGAGATGGTCTATACCAGCGGTGGCTCAAATTTGGAAGTGGTCAATTCCTTATAAGGTTCAAATCTTTATATGGTTGGCTTCTCAAGATAAGATTATGACGGTATATAATTTGATAAAAGGGGCAAAATTTTGCCTAATATATGTCTCATGTGTAAACAAGATGCATAATATGTTTCATGTGTAAACAGAAAGTAGAATCTGGGTCCCATCTGTTTATTCATTGCCATTTTGCTTCTAGGATTTGGTATTGGCTATTTGGGTTACTTAGGGTGAATTCTTTACTACCCCAATCTGTGATTGGTATTATTTCACGGTTAACCTTTCAACATCTACCAGCAAGGGGGCAATGTTATGGGAATTGTGGAAAGAGGGGAATAGACAGATTTTTTACGATGTTAGTCTACCTTTTGAGAGAGTGCTATCATTGATTAAAGTATCCATCTGGCGTTGGGTTTTAATTACTAAAGAAGGATGGGGGATTTCGCAACCTGATATTTTATTAAATTTGCATAATCTTTTTCTGATGAGTACCTATAAGGTTAGACCAAGAAACTTGTGGGTAACACCATCCTTAGGCTGTTTCAAATTGAATTTTGATGGGAGTTCCCTTGGGAACCTGAGGGTTGCAGGCATAGGAGGGGTGTTGCGTGATGGGTTTGGTGAGGTGATATTTACTTTTGTAGGGTCAAGTAGTGGTATAGCCACTACAAATCATACAGAGCTTCTAGCTGCTTTTGATGGGTTGAAGATCTTTACTGCTATAAAGATTGTTAATTCATGTGTGATTGACGGTGATTCTATGAATGTCATTCAGTGGTGTAACAGGGATCGTCAGGTTCTATGGGGTTAAGGTCGTGTTGGTTTCAGATTATGGATTTAGTGGAACCACTATCATTGCCTTTCTTCATGTTTATAGGGAAGCAAATTGTTTGGTAGACTTTCTTACTAAAGGAGGCGCACCCTCTATTTTCTCTTTTTGTTTCCTCTGATGTAATCTCCTTTTTTGTAAGGATTCATTAATAAAGTTCATAAGGTTTGTAAAGAAAAATAAAAATTTATTAGTAAACTTATACCATTTTGATTTTATGCTACCTTATAAAGTTGGTGACTTTGTAACTATTGCACCAAACCTATCACTGAAGCTAGATATATTTTTTGTGCGCCGCCTAATTCCCAAACTATATGATGCTTTATATACAGGACAGGGTTTCTATGAGTCGGCCGACTCACCTATTCAAATGAGTCATCTCTTTGAAAACCATTTTAGAGATATATTTTGGATTCAAAAATTTGAGAAATGTATAATCTCAACAATGATAAGCAATAACTTGAAAAAAAAAATTTAAAACACAAATAGATATGGATGCTACATGTGTTTGGGGGATGCTATTGTAGATGCGTGTCCCTTGACGCAAACTACTTTTCCTTATATATAAGAAGGATGTAGTTTGTATAAGGTGGAGGCTCTAAACGATCAAAGTAAGCATACTTTCAAATAGCACCAAAATATAGTATTTTAGTATCAAAAATTTTTATGATGGTTTAAAAATTTATTTTCATATCTAATTATCAAATCTAGAGATTAGAAAATAATGTAGATTGAGCAGATCTATGAACACTTGAAAATTGATAGTCTAGATAATACATAACAAGATGCACCATTTTCAAGACTTGAAATCAAAATTTGTTCATGTTCATATGTTTTGAGGTCGATATGATCAAATTTAGTGCCTTACCACATCAAAACAACCTCTTATAATCAATTATTGAGTTGGTCCTAATTTTATTGCTTAGGGCTTCACCAATATATAAACTTTTTCCATATAAGAACAAAGAAAAATGTTTCATGCAAGCCGGACCGCATTTCTACATATGCGGTCCAAAAAGTGTAAAGCATCCATCTTAAAGTTGGATGCAAGTAGGTGCTCTATCTAAAAGCAATGGAAATTAACGGGCCAAATGTTTTCTCACTAGAATTATTATTTTTAGTTTTTTAAATTTATTTATTTATTATATTCATGATCTCCATGTTAGAGATTACATGTCCATAAAATTTAAGTCTTAAAATCTATTTCAAAAATAGATTTATTTAGAGGCCCGCATTACATATGCGAGCTTGACCGCATAAAAACCGGGTCCTAAGAATAAACACATATAAACTCTCTTGCCTTCCCCGATGCATGTACATTGTGTAAAAGGTGTGTAAATATTGTGGCATGGACAAACGGAGGCAAAGGCCATCTTACACAAGAACTACAGGAACTTCGAGTGCCCCCCGAATTATGAAAGAAAAAAAAATTAATGTATGGCTTAGTCTCCAAATAATTAAATCAAGGCGCACTTCAAAAATCTACGGCAGACGTTGTTTTGATGTCAAAAACCATCAATTCGATGATTTCAACCTCGAGATGTATAGAGGTGAAAAAAAGTGAATTTCGAGTCTAATAAATAGTATAGATTGTAATATATTATTTGGGCCGTCAATCTTCAATAGTTTTAACTTTTAAGTGTTGATAGCTATGCTCAATCTACATTGAACTTTACATTTTATAATTAGAGATTAAAATAACCAAAGCATTATATAAAATTTTTGCTACTGAAAATTTAGAGGGTAATTATCGCTAATATACCTATATTTTAATAAAATTGAAAAAAAAAACCCAACTTTCAAACACCTCGTCCACACCATTTTTCCCAATTTTTGACTTTTTTAGGACGAAAATACCTTTTACGGTAATCTTTTTACCATAAAACATATTAAGCTTTACGGTAATTAAAATACCGTAATAAGTTGAAAGATCATTACAGTAATTAAAGTACCATAATATGTAGAAGAATTACGATAATTAAATTGCCGGAAAGGTTCCCACATTCTTTACAACAATCTTAGTACCGTAATGTTTTCAATTTTCATAACCAGCAGGATAATGAAGAAAAAGGCTTACATAGATAAACCATTTCCACTAAGGGAGAGAGAAAGAGAGCGAAAACCACAATTCGCGACTTGCCATTCCTTAGGAAGGCACACATCTCTTCAAGAATCTCTATCTGAAAAACTCACAAAAATTTTAGTCGAAATCAAATCATGAGTATCTCTCAAAATTCTCTATGCTTGATAGGCCTGTTACTTTCTCTGTCTATAACTTATCCAATTAAAATGTATACTGGTTAAAAAACATAACAATGGGTGGGTCTCACACCCTCTGAGTAATATTGTAGATGGATATTACTTCTGAAAGTCTCATATCCCTTGAAGCTATTGTACTTCAAAGCAGCATCGTCCCTCTCTCTTGTTACTTTCCTTCTTCCTCTCTGGTAATTCTCTACCCACTCTATAAAATACGTGTTCTGTTGAGCTTTTTACAGAGAGAGATCATCACTTCTTCTTTAGAGAGAGAGAGGTCATGATTTCTTCCGTCAAATTTTTCTCATCATTTTCTGATGTCGATTTTGCTTTACACAATATTGCTCATCCAAATTAGTTTTCTTTTTTTCGTTTTTATAAATTATGCTATTTATCATGGTCTCTGCAAATGTTGTTATGTATTAAAGCAAATCATGTTCTCAGGTTCTCTTTCCTTTCTACAAATGCCCATGACCCAAAGAAACCCGACTAAAACTCTAAGACTAAAAATACTACAGAGAATGTGAAATCTTGGCCAAGGTTCATCCTAAAAGCGTATCGTTACATTCTAAGAGTGAAGATTACGTGCTTCCAAAGCAAGTTCACATAGTGCCGGAAGGAAAGGGGTAGCCCTGGTATTAATTTCGATTTGAAGCTTTTCAACCAATAGGCGTTTGTAATTTACAGGGAAAATGTTACGATAATTAAAGTACCATAATACTATTACGGTATTTAAAGTACCGTAATACTACTACATCAATTAAAGTATTGTAATACTATTTCAAACTATTATGGTAATTAAAGTACCGTAACGCTATTATAACAATTAAAATACCATAATACTACTTCAAACTATTATGATATTCTAATTACCGTAATACTTCTTCAACTTATTATGGTATTTCAATTATTGTAAAGCTTAGCACCTATTACGGTAAAAGACTTCCGTTAAAGTTATTTTGGTTCGAAAAAATCCGAAAATTGTGAGAAAAGATGTAGACGAGGTTTTGAAAAATTGAAGTTTTTTTTTTCTGATTATAATAAAATATAAATATATTGACAATAATTTTCCAAATTTATATTTCGAAATTATTCTAGAGGTACCCATTATATAATTTTGATTGTTTAGAATTTAGAGCCTCAACCTTATATTAACCACTCCATTTCAAGGTAAGAACCGATTGAATCAATAGGAAAAAAATCTCACTTTGTCCCCTGAACCATTCCAAAAGAATTCTTTTAGCTTAAAATATGTTTCTGTCGTAAGCTCATCCCGCGCCGGCCTGTCCATCCAACGTTGGTTTTCATCAAATTTCACCGATAACTCAAAATTCTGAGAGTTTGGAAAGGTTTTGAGAAAATAAGGCAGAAGCCCTAAGTTCTAACATGTATTTTGTGAATCCCCTCTCTAAGACGTCCATTTCTTTGCCATGGGTGCGTGCTGCCATTGATGTATGCTCGTCCTTTTCTTAAAAACCGGAAGGGGAAGGGGAAAAGGAAAAGAAAGAAAGGGCAGGAAGGAGAAGATGAAGATGGTGGTTTGCAGTGGGCAAAAGGAGATGCTTCTCTGTCCCGAACTCCAATTGCCTCTTCAACCCTCCTCCTTCACTTCCAACCCCGGCTCATCTCTTTTTTTCTCATCATCGCTCAACAGCGGCAGCAGCAGCAGGAGGAGCCACTTTCTCAGAGCCCAGGTCCAGGTCCTGACAGCACAGGCCCAAGTCCGCATCCGTGCCAATGCTCTAGAAAAAGAGGTAGTCGAAGTGAAAGAGTTAGATGAGCTTCCAGAGCAGTGGAGGAGGTCCAAAGTGGCCTGGCTTTGCAAGATTCTACCCTCTTACAAATCTCCCACCCTCCTCCGAGTACTCAACGCTCAGCGCAGCTGGATCAATCAGCAAGACACCACCTATCTCATCCTCCACTTCATGCGCATTCGCGACAATGACACCAGCTTCAAGGTAAATATCAGTCACCACCATTACAAAACATTGCTTTCTTTCTCTATCTCACAGAAAGGAAGACTCCATTTTCCATATTTTCCAGTGAATGTATGTGATTGCTTCTATTTGTCTGGAAAGGGACCCTTGGCAGCAAGTGGGTTCACTTGTACTACTCACATTGGTTGGGGGCTGTTTTTTTTTTAATTAGCTCATAACACATTTGTTTAATCTCCATTTTGCATCTTAAAAGTTTATTTTCTGGGATGATGATTGGTTCATTGTGTCGAGGTTACTTATCATTTCCAGAGCAATTCTTTGAGGAATATCATTTTTATCCCCTGAGTTTCAGGTGTATAAATGGATGATCCAGCGGCACTGGTTCCGATTTGACTTTGCCCTGGCCACTAAGCTGGCGGATTATCTGGGCAAGGAACGCAAGTTTGCCAAATGCCGAGAAGTGTTTGATGATATAATAAGGCGTGGCCGCGTGCCCCACGAGTCTACGTTCCACATACTTACGGTTGCTTACATTGGAGCACCCATCCAAGGCTGCCTGGAGGAAGCATGCAGCATCTACAATCGCATGGTTCAGTTGGGGGGTTACACCCCGAACCTCAGCTTGCATAATGCTCTCTTCAGGGCCATCGTGAGTAAACCGCGTGGGACATCGAAATATTACCTGAAGCAGGCTGAATTCATTTTCCATAACATATCGACATGTGGTTTTGAGATCCACGAGGATGTGTATGCCGGCCTGATTTGGCTCCACAGCTATCAGGATGTTGTGAACGGAGAGCGGATTGCGGCTCTGAGAAAAGAGATGCAACAGGCAGGAATAGAGGAGAGCATAGACATGCTCGTTTCCATATTGAGGGTCTGTTCCAAGGAGGGTGATGTGGAGGAAGCCGACAAGACATGGGCCAAACTGATGGAATCTGGAGCCAATAGTCTCCCCCCTCCTCAAGCTTTTGTCCTTCGAATGGAAGTTTTCGCAAAAGTGGGACAACCCATGAAATCCTTGGAGATATTCAGGGGGATGCAGGCGCAAGGAGTACGCGAGACTGTTGTGGCATACCAGAAGATCATTGAGGTGATGTCGAGATCCCAGGAAGTGGGGATTTCTGAAACCCTTATGCTAGAATTCACAAAGAGCGGGTTTAAACCTTTGTTACCCTCATTTGTTGATGTGATGGATATGTATTTCAATTTAGGAATGCATGACAAAGTGGAGTGGGCATTTTGTCAGTGCCTTGCTAATTGCGATCCCAACCAGGCTGCTTACAACATCTACTTGGAGTCTCTGGTTAGGAATGACAGGATTGCAAGAGCCGAGGAGCTGTTTAATGAAATGAAGTCAAATGGGGCAATTGGTGCTAATAATCGTGCTTGCAACATCATCTTGGAGGCCTATCTTACGTCCAGTCAATATGCAAAGGCTGAAGATATTTATGATCTGATGGGTCAGAAGAAATACAACATTGCACCCCCGTTGCTGGAAAAAGTCGATTATGTTTTGAGCCTCAGCCGGAAGAAACTCAAGAAATCTTTAAGCTTGAAGCTTGACAAGGAGCAGCGTGAAATTTTGATAGGTTTACTCTTAGGTGGTACCCGAATCAAATCTGACGAAGCGAAAAAGAATCACACGATCCATTTTGAATTCAATGAGAACTCTGATGCACATGGGGCCTTGAAGGTTCATATATATGAGAGATTTTATGAGTGGTTAACCCCCTTTGGCAACATAAGCGATAGGAATGATGAAATACCATGTCACTTTTCTTCGAAAGCACATCCCCATTTTGGTTTCTTTGCCGACCAGTTTTGGCCTAAGAGACGGCTAGTGATTCCCAAGCTCATCCATCGATGGTTGTCATCACGTGTCTTAGCTTACTGGTATATGTATGGGGGGTACACAACTTCGTCAGGTGATATTTTGCTCAAATTAAGGGATTGCAGTCACGAAGATGCTGAGCGAGTAATCAAGACACTGAAAGCAAAATCTCTTGATTGTAGGTTTAAGAGAAAGGGGAGAGTATTTTGGATAGCTTGTCAGGGGAACAATGCCACATGGTTCTGGAAGTTGGTAGAACCTCACATCTTACATGGTTTTAATGAGCTTCTGATTAGGGATGCTAAACAATCAGAAAATGGATTGGCCCAAGATAGCGAATATGGGCTTGATAAAGATTTCAATTTTGATGAGATAGCCGCTGATTGTAAAAGTGACTGGGACTGTATGGATTCCTTTCAGCTTGCCAATGTACATGATACAAATGCCAAAAATTGAATATTGATGTCGATGCACGTTGTGTCTGGGCTTTTTAAAGTTCATTTGATGAATTTATGATCATAATGAGCAGGTTCAAAGTATAGTCACAAAATGTGTTGAAAAGAAATTAAACTCTTTTAACCATCCACTCACATTTTTCTCTCTTTAATGGTTTAATGATTATCTCATGTTTATTCCTAGTGATTGGTAGTTATCTCGAACCCTATATGGTATTTATCCTTTGTATAAGTTAAATGGTTATCCATGTTCTAAGTTAATCATTCATGCTCTTAGTGGATGGTTAGCCATGTTCTTAGTGGTTGTTGGTTATGGTTATCATCAAAGTCTTTACTGTGCAGTTAGTTGTTGTATGTGGGCTGTAACCCAAATCTCTTTTTGCCGTAAAAGCCTCTTTTTAAATAGGTGAGAAGGAACAATGGAATATTCATGGCTGAATGACCTTCGAAGTGCTTCGACCTTCTTGTAACTTTTTGCAATAGCAATAGTTGATAATTTAGATCAATAATTGGATATTCTAACTGTTTGAAGTACAAATAAATGGTAGTTGATATTCATTGATCTATATATGAGTATTGGAAAATGTTTTTTCATGCCTTAGTTTTCATCTTGATTGGGATCTTTATTGCAGGGGGAAATAAGAAACTATGGGCTGTTTAATGGTTTTACAGCATCTGTAAATAAAAAAAGTTTGTTATTGTACTTCCAGTAGTAGTTTACTAGGAACAAATGAGGATTGTATTATAGCTTACTTATGATCCTTCATGTTTTTGCCTCAGCAAATTTGACTCTTTTTGGTTCAATCAGCTTGTTTGGCACTCAATCTTTAACTTGACATGAGGTCGATTATGACAAATTATAATGATCACAAAGCCCATCAGTTGATGGATTTGGTTATGCGATGACGTGATGGCCATTTCCCTTGTTGATTGCAGTCACTTAAAGAATTGAAGATTAAACAAACATGTAAGCTGCAATGTGGCAGTAATGTAAGGGCATGATGTTACCACCATCTTTTCATCAGTCTGCTATTGGAGGAGATGTGAATGTTGCACCAGATACCACAAATGTTTGTGGATCCACATATTCTAGCCAACCACAACCTTGAGGAGCTTGGTATGTCAGGTGAAGAGAATCGACCTCAACCCCAGTCTTCAAGCCCTAAGAGTGGCTCAAGTTGAGTTACCGTACGTTGCATTCTCATACCCATAAAACCTTATTTATCCTCCCAATGGTCAGGTTTTACTTCTACTTCTTTTCTGAAGCAGAAGTAAGAAATGGGTTTGCTGATGAGAACTTCATTGTTGAGGTGGAGAACTTAAGGATTTAGAGTGGTGTCCTTCTTGGGACCCTCGTCTTGTCAAATGTTTCTCTGTTGGGACTAAACAGTTCTTGACTGAACTCGTATATCCTCAAGAATTTTCGCCATCACAATATATCGAACCTTTTGGGATGCTCTTGCTTGAATGTATCAACAATGTTTTTGATATGTGACTACCCATACATACACCACTGAAAAATTAACCGAGAAGCAGGTATCTTATGCTCAAACTTGAGCCACTCTTAGGTGTTCTGAGCCAAGGAGTGACATACAAAAAGAATGTTAAGTACTGTAACTCAACTAAACTAAACTTCATACTAAAAAAGTTTGAGTTATCATACTTTTGTATTCTCTCATAATATAGAGTTGGTCAGCCGGGTCTCACTGTTGCACTGCGTGGAATCCTAGGTTTACCTACGTTGAGAAAAAGGGAAACAGAATTGTTACGAGACCCACAGAGCAGGACATGACCCCAAATGCTTAATTATGTGGGGAATGTATGATGTGTCTCAGATATATGTTTGTAGGGATCATCACTGTACAATCAACATGTTTAATGGAGGGCAATCAACATGTTTAATGGAGGGAGACTGGAATGTACAACCGATGACATTGTTTTTACAATCCTCTCCCTTCATCACTGTCCGACTTATTGATTGAATGTTGTTGACCCCTAGCTCCCTTCTTTTACATGATCATATGCTTTGTTTGATTATCTAATAAGAAATTAATATCGAAGGACTGTGTTATTTTTTGCTCTATCTACATATTTTAGCTGGAGATTTAGTCATTGTAATGTGTGATGGTAAAAGGCTGGGGTAGCCAGCGCAAAAGTGTTGCTTCGAGTCTTGAGAGAGGCCACTTTGTGCATGAGCCAAAGGTTAAAACCATTTCCAGTCCAACCCTCCCGAGAGCCTGCTTAGGAGGGACCAGCACCGGGTTACGGCCCTTTTATTTAATCACTAATTTTCCTTGGGAAAGGCAGGTCGTTTGCTTCTTTATGCATCTCGATGAATCTAAGACATTTGTGTATCTATTTAGCGTCAGAATTGGCTTGCAAACTTGTCATGGAGGATAAGGTGGAACATACAACGGCAAGTGTTTGTGCGATCGTCATGAGTGTCCCGGTGGGCCCATATGCGACCTTTATCTAATCATCCTCAAATGCGATATTATCTGAAAGCTACAATTGTATCTTGATCAAATTTTATAAAACCGGGCATAAAAATATACCCTTTAAATTTTCAGTTTTTTTTCTTCTTGTGATTTACTTCAGAATCTTTTTTTAAAAAAAAAAATTTCCCATTAGAATTGTAATTCATTTTAATTATTCTCTTGTTGCCCAATTCACAATGACTATTCCCTTAATCATATGCCAGTTCAAAATTAAGGTACCCCTTTCTTGGCTTGCAGTTCACATCAAATCTCAATCTTTATACTTTTAAAATTTTCTCATCCACCTTAATCATATGCCAGTTCAAAACAGCCAAGACCTCACGTATCTGAGCCATTAAGGGGTGCACTTCATCCCCTGCTACAAACTCACTAACCTCACCACCTACCTCTATCACGCTGCAACCGGGGGTCTTCCTCACCCTCTCACTCCCCATCACCTCTCTCACCCCTTTCGCATCGCCCCTTCGCCCGACACACGCATACAAATTCGCTAATTCAGTGTAAGCTCCATCCATGCATTGCTCAAAGCCCGCTAGCTCTTCCACTGCACGCTCGGCTAACCCCACCTCGCCCTTAGCCTTGCATGCACTCAACAGAGCGCCCCAAACTGAGGCCCGAGGCCTTATAGGCATGGCTTTGACAAAATCGAACGCCTCATTTAACCTCCCAGCCCTACAAAGCATGTCAACTATGCACCCATAGTGTGGGTGCTCGGGTTCTATGTTATATTTGTTCACCATACTTGAGAAGAGAGAAAGCCCTTCTTCTACCATTCCCCCATGGCTGCAAGCTGTTAAAACTCCTAAGAGTGTAACAGGGTCGGGCCGGATGCGGAGGGCCTGCATTTTGTCAAAGCATCGTAAAGCATGTGCTGCCATGCCGTGCATGGCAAGCCCCACGATCATTGCAGTCCATGAGTGCACATTTTTCTCAGGCATTTCATCAAACACTTTAACTGCTCTCTCTATACACCCACACTTTGCATACATATCTACGAGTGCCGTGCCCACATAGTCATCAACCTCGACCCCACTGCTCAAGAGCTCGTGAACCCACCGCCCCTGCCTCAGCGCCCCCACATGCGCGCACGCAGTAAGCATCGTCGTGGCCACAAACCTGTCGACTCCCACACCCTCAATTTGCATGTCATTAAACAGAGCAAATGCATCGGTACAACGGCCCTCCCTCACATACCCATGTATAATCGCATGCCAAATCACATTGTCTCGAACACAACCAGGCGTCTCATCAAAGACGAGCCGAGCATCAGCTAAGCGTCCACACTGGACGTAAAGCCGCACGAGGTTGGAGCGCAAGAAGCAGTCTCCGCACGCCATGCCATTGCGCGTTACTTGTGAATGCAATTGCCGGCCTTCCCAAAGTGAGGTTGAGTTAGCGCAGGCGATGAGAGCGAAAGCAAAGGCGTGGGCATCATGGTGAGGCGAGTGGGCAAAGAGCGAGAGGGCGGAGCGGGGGTCAGGGCCATTGGCGCGGGCTCGGATGATGGTGTTGGAGAGGAAAGCGTTGGGATTTTGGATGCGGAGGAAGAGAGAGGTCGCGTAGTTTAGGTGGAGGGAGGAGAGGGGAGCGAGGAGTTTGGAGAGGGCGTAGTTGTTTTGGTGGAGGTCTGAGGTGATGAGGAGGGCGTGGGCCGCCATGAGATGGGGGAGGGTGCGGGCCGATGCGATGAGAGACATGCAACGGTTCCATACCCATCGGTTGCTTACCTCTCTCATTTTCTCTCATCACTCCTCTTTCTCGCTCCTCCTCTCCTTCTCACCCACCCTTGCTTCTTACGCTTCTTGCTCTTCCGTTTAGCTCTCACACTCACTCTCACTCTCATCTCATCTTTCTTGCTACCCCATTTCACACATGGTCCGGTCGGGGAGGGTCCTGTTTTTTAATATCGTTTTTCACAATGTTTATTTTCCTTTCGACGCGGTTAGCTTGCGGCTAGCCCGCATAATGTACAAATGCGAGCTTGACAATAAATATATTTTTTAAATATAATTTGATCTCAAATTTTAGAGAACATGGAGATTTGGCAATAAATATTTTTTTTAAAATATATTTTGATCTTAATCTTTAGAGAATATAAATATGAATAAATAAAGATATTTTGAAAACTAAAAACAATAATTACATTAAAAAAATATTTAGACCATTAGTTACAATTGTTTTTAGATGAACCATCTATTTGCATGGATGCTTTATACCTCGCATATTGTAGAAACGGTCTAGCCCGTATTAAACAATTGTTATTTTCTTTGTAGTATTGGTTTTCTCCTGTTTACATATTATTCATCGAGAAATTGGCTCAATTTCTTGTTTGGACCCGGTTTCTATGTGGCCAAGCCCATATATGCAGATATGCATGTCTCTTAATAAATCTATTTTTGAGATGGATTTTAAAACTTAATTTTTGAAGGCATGTAATCTCTAAGACTTAATTTTTTGGACGGTGAGTTTCCATTGTTTTTAGATAGAACACCTAAGATACTTTACACTTTTGGATTGTATATGTAGAAATGCAGTCCAGCCCGTATGAAACAATTTTCCTTCTTATTTACATAAGTTGTGTAAAAATTTGTCCAAAAGCCCAACAGTATTGCGGATTCCCTTAGCTTTTAAGATTTTCTTAAAATTTTGTTTTT